GAATACTTGATTAAAATTTTAATAAATCAAAATATATTATTATTTTAATTCTCACCAACATTTTATGAAGGAATTATTAGCATCACCATTTAATATTTGAAGAAAATAAGGCTCAGATATTTTACTAACTTACCCCACATGGGTTGTTAATGACGGTGTCAAGATTTGACTTCTGAGTTGACTTGGAAAGCAGTATTTCCTACCACTAATTTTACATGTGATGAATTCCACTTGGAGTCATGGGCAGGTCTATGTCCTCCACTCTTACATATTTATTATTCTATAGGTACAAAGGTTTAGAGGAAATCCCAAAATATGATCATAGGCCTTCTTGATTAGTTGGGATAATACTAAGAGAGAAGGAATGGGAGTAAGCATTCAGGTTGAAAAAAGGAAAAAAGTAAGATTGGGAGCTAAAAGGTCTTCCAGAATTATGATCTTTTCCTTTAGCAGGGAACATATTAGAATAACTGATATAATAATTTGGCAATCCTCAACCAAGCATAGAGAAAGAGTAAAGAGGGAAGAGAGGAGGAGAATTTTTTTGAAGAGCATTTATCATGTAAAAATACTTAATAAAATGCTTACATGAAGATGGTAATCTGTTTTCTAAAAATATAATTTAGTTTGGTATGATTTTCTATGGATTTGTTTAAGAGAAGATTGTAGAAATGTAGCCTAAAGTAGTTACCAACTCAGGATTCTCTCTATTAGTCCCCTGTGCTAGACTTACAAGTTTGTGTGTGCCTGTGCTGCCATTCTCAGATACCGTATTAGTGAAGATTACATATTCCCGGGTATCTGTACAGCTTTCCTGCTCTCTGTGCAATGTGTGAAGGCACATTGACACTTTCTTTAACCAGTTACAAATGCAATGCTTCACACTCTCACACTTACATACATGGAGTCATTTCCTGTTTTGACTTGTTTTTTTTTTTTTTTACAAAAATTCCAGGCAAACGGATTTGTGCTGGAGAAGGCCTGGCCCGCATGGAGCTGTTTTTATTCCTAACCACCATTTTACAGAACTTCAACCTGAAACCTTTCATGGATCCACAGGACCTCGATACCACTCCAGTTCTGAATGGGTTTATCTCTGTGCCACCACCATACCAGCTGAGCTTCATTCCAGTGTAAAGAAGAGCTCTGCT